GCACATTTGTCCTTAAAGTGTTTACCTGGTCATTTCCATTTGGAGTGAGGGCTGGGCTGCGCTGCCACTGGGACCTCCATGTCTCTGTTCTCTGCAGGATTGTTTTCAAGAAGATGTATTAATCATCAATAAATCTAGAATTGATAAGTTAAAAAAAATATGTACATGAATGCAAGTTTAATTCTGAACCTTGTGTTTTGATTTGTGCCATCACTGGATGTGCCCAGTTGTGTCCCAGATGATGTAATCAAGCTTAGCAGGTGCCGGGCAGACTGCACAATATCAGCGTGACTACCCTGTCATCATGAATACAGCACAAACAATAAGAATATTACAGATCAGTAGCACAAACATTACATTTCAAACAGCTACATGTTACTAAACTTAAATTAGCATAAACAGTTTCGTTACAGTTACATTATTGGCCGTTCATTCGTTCGTTTTTAAAAGTGAGACCGCTCTCACTACCATCACACCTCCTCAAGGAGCTCCTCAAAAACCAATGCGTTTTTAAAGCCGTGTCGCCACCAGACGTGACCAAGACAGATTCTCACTGCCCCAGAACTGCAACCTCTGGACAATAATGTCTGTGATGAAACAATTAACTGTCATCTCATATGAGACATTGCTGATCCCAGAGGTTTTTAACAGATGACGTCCTGATGCTAATGGTTAGCTAGCATTACTAATACAGTTTTACCAAACGCCACCTCATTCAGCACATGTATTGTCCGGTAAATTCTGTTAGTTATTATTATTATAATTGTTATTGTCTAATGCTGAATCTTACACAACTACACAAATGACAAATAAGAGTTAATACACTCACCGAAGCGCTCTAGTTCGTGTTAGAAGTCATTTCATGACTGTCTGCACTCTGCACCTATGGTTTCCTCAGTCCGGAAGTAAATGCGCGTCTTCCTGCAACCTTTTCTTCGTTGGTGTCACATGACAAATGGAGTGTAACATGATTGGCTGGATGTAGGTTGGACTCGATCTACAATCGATTGCTCTTCCTTGGATAGCAGATTTGCAGTGAAATTATTTACAGTGAATTTTGCATCTGAATTTGAGCAGTTTGAAAATATATTATTTGAATTTTTTCAGACTTGAATTTTTTTATTCTGAATTTTTGAACATTGAAAAACAAAAATAAAAAAAAAACAGGTACAACATTTCAGTGCAAAAAAATTCAGATACACAAATTTAATGCAAAAAAATCTTATACATTAATTCAATGTAAACAAAAATCAGTGTTATAAATTCAATTTCAACTGACGATGAAACTGCTATGCTTCCATACACAACACTCAGTACTTAATTTACACCCTTCTGTCATATGTGTTGAGAGTTTATAACATGGAGTCAACTGTCCGCCAGAGAGGACGACAAAGATCAGAGACAGAAAGAACAACAGTCTTAGAAATGCAGTATTTCTCTGTAGACACCAGTCTGATGCTGATAGTTTTACAGAGTTCATTCATTCATTCATTCATTTTCCGTAACCGCTTAGCCTATCTCTCTCTCAGTTCACCCCAATCTCCCTCACAGACTTACCTGTTCTCATGGTGGGAATGAAAGCTGCCACTTGCACCCTGGGCCCTGTCCCATCCCATCTTATCAAGGCCTGCCTTCCCACTTTATCACCGCTCATCACAACAATAATTAACTCCTCCCTATCTACTGGCTCAACATTCTCATACTACTTGACCTGAGTGCAGCATTCAACACCATCAACCATTCCATCCTTCTCTCCTGCTTTGAAACCACTCTTAACATTACCGGCACTGCTCTCTCCTGGCTCAATTCCTACCTCTCCGACAGACACCTGTTCATCAGCATAAACAATTGCAAATCTCTTCATCCTGTACATTCTCTCCCTTGGTCACATAATCCGCCGTTATGGACTTCAGTTTCACTGCTTTGCTGATGACATTCAGCTCCACATCTCCACCAAAGCCATCACTCCTGCCACTCACTGTACCATCACCAGCTGCATCACCGAAATAAAATCCTGGCTGCAAACCAGCTTCCTAAAACTTAACTGTGACAAATCAGAAGTCTCATCAAACCCACCCATAACTTGTCCCTCTCCATCGATGGCTCCACTGTGCTCTCCTCCCCCTATGTCCTTAACCTTGGTGTCATCTTCGACCAGACACTCTCCTTTGACCATTGATGGGAATAACGGCATTATAAATAAATGGCGTTACTCACGCGCTACTTTTTTCAGTAACGAGTAATCAAAAAGGTTACTGTCTCCCGTTATAATGCTGTTACCGTTACTCGCAATAAAATGCGCCGTTACTCGGCTTTACTTGAGTTCACTGAGGAGACTTTCACCCAAGCAAGCTCCATCTCAGTGGAGCTCTAAAGTTTTTTTCTTTGGTGAGGGCATAGGTGAGGGGGAAGGGAGGGAGAGACAACCGCATAAGTGATGATGATTGGCTTAGGGAGAGTAAAATTTCATCATAAACCAATCAGAGGCAGAGTAGGGCTGGTATTCACAAGCACACAAGCAGGGCTGTCAGGTCCACTTAGTAGCCGCGACTTTGGGCTTGTTTTTTTGTAAAGTCACGCCTACAAATATTGGTAGTCGCTGGTTGTGTTTTTTTGAGCTTGCTTCTAAAGTGGAGTTGCTTATTTGGGCTTTCTCTCTAAACGTCGCCTTTCTCTATATATATATATCCGTCTAATAAGTTATTCAAACGCATGTTAGTATGTCGGACTGCAGGATGTTTCCACAGCTCCACTCCCTCCACTCCTCTCCTTCTCCGCAGGGCCGTGCACAGGCTAATAGAAGGTCAGGGGCTCAAAGGCAGAAAAGGGCACTGGGTCTAGCACATCCACGACTCACAAGTCACGACTGGACCAGGCTACTGGTGCTGAATGCACATTCAGAGATAAGTTTCATTTTCCACAGAAATGCTTGTAACGTTAGATGCGGTATGGGAGTGGCATCACCCAGGGCTTCCAATCACCGATCTCTCTCTATCTGATATTTTGTTTCAATCGACATCCTTTCGGCAGGGCAGGGAGAGCAGGCTGTGCGCGACATGGAACACAACAAACAAAAACGACCTACAGAAAAAGGGCACTTTTCTATGCAAGGCAAAAAGGCAGGGGCTCAAACACCCTTTGAGGTCTATGTGTGCACGTGCTTGCTTCTCCGAATACACACAGGTGACGGTCAGTCAGTGAGACTTTTCACATTTAAATTGCGCCATTAATTGAGGTTCTTTAACTATTTCGCTTACAAGTTGGGCAAAATATGGAAAGAATACAATAAAGATTTGTAGAAAGAGAGAGGATTAAAAGATTTGACTTCATTCCTTTAACATATTCAATGTTGAGTTTCATTACATACAGTTCTATTAAGGGGGGGTGTCCAAGCAATTTGACATATTTGAGCATTTTATAAAAAAGAAACACTATAGTTACTTTTCCAGGTAATTAGTTACTTTTATATTGCAGTGACACATTTACTAACTTAGTTACTTTTTGGGGAAAGTAAGTAGTAACTATAACTAATTATTTTTTTAAAGTAACATTCCCAACACTGCCTTTGACCAACACATCAAATGCTTTTTACATAGTTCCAGAGGAACCCTCTTGCTGTGAGGTGACAATGCTAACCACTGCACTTCAGTTCAGTAAAAGTCTAAATACACATCTGTCTTTGTCTCCCTCTGTCTCTGCCCCTCAGTTTGTCCTCACCTGGTGAAGTTGTGCAGATCAGCTGAGTTGTGTGAGAGTCTTGTTGACTTCCAGCTGGAGCTTCCAGTCTGATGATCTGTGATGTTGAAAGGTGACTTATATACTGTCAGATACTCTCTTCTATTGACTCCTCCCACGACACGCCTCAACACGTGACCTGAGGCCTGTAGAACAGGGAGATAATGAGACAGGCAGAGTGCTTCCTTCACCCGCTTCTGACAGACTTTAGAGGACACATATTTAACTGTTCTGAGACTGCAGCCCAGGCATCCCAAAACAACACAACATTCATTAAAATAAAAAATGTGAATCCACATAATCCATGTGTTTTATAATTCTTTACATACAAAGGAAAAGAAAATACATCCTTCAATAAATTTGCTGTTTACAGCCTCAACTTCTGAACCACTGGGTACAAACAGGTCTGTGTCTGTGAAAACATGGACGCTTCAACCTGGCAGCACAGAAGAGCTTTTTTCTGTATTGAAAAGATGACAAAATAAACTAACTTTTCTGCATTCTGGAGGTGTGCGATCCACATTTTTTTTGATTCATTTAAGGACTCTTTTTGGACAACGCACCCAGAGGTTTGAGCGCAGTGGTCTTTCCCAAAATTGTAACACAGAAGATCTATAGACGTATTCAGCGAGCGATTTGTGTATGCCGCCATTTTGCGGCGGTGCCATTGCTGCGGTGATGTGTCAGTCATCAATTCATTATGCTGTCATTGTGAACTGACTCTCTACAATAAAAGCATCATGAATAGCTGGATTGATGATGTTAGACAGTGGCCTCCAGTAACTGATGAAGGTATCTTAAATGAGTACTGATATTAATATAGAAATGAATCATTTGTTTGAGCGATAAGCAGGAAAGATTAGAGTAATAGGGAGATAATAGACTGTATCATTAAACACTGTGTAATATAACGTTAGCATACGTTACGTGTGCTGACGTTAGCAAGCTAGCAGCGTGACATTTAATCATTATGGACAGGCTACGTGACTAAAAACAACAACAACGCGTGTTTGTGTTTTGTTTTAGGTATTCAAGAATATTTTATTGATGGCCAGAAAAACAGCAATTAACGTTACAGGTCTCTGATTGAGGGTCAAAATTACCTGAGCTCCGGATGGGTCGGGCAAATTTTACACCACCTTTTAGACGACCATCACATCATATTGAAGGCGATCAATATTGATCGCCTTCAATATGATATGATGGTCACGTAGCCTGTCCATAATGATTAAATGTCACGCTGCTAGCTTGCTAACGTCAGCACACGTAACGTATGCTAACGTTATATTACACAGTGTTTAATGATACAGTCTATTATCTCCCTATTACTCTAAGTAATAGAGTTACTCTGAGTAAAAAATCAATCAGACAACTGCAGCTCGTCCAGAACGCTGCTGCCAGAGTCCTCACCAACACCAAGAGAGTGGAGCACATCACACCAGTGCTTAAGTCACTGCACTGGCTTCCTGTGTGTCAAAGGATAGACTTTAAAATCTTGTTACTTCTTGTCTATAAAGCACTAAATGGTCTCGGGCCTAAATACATCTCTGAGATATACTTGTACGTTATGAAGCATCCAGACCCCTCAGATCATCTGGAACAGGTTTACTCAGTGTTCCCAGGATCAAAACCAAACAAGGTGAAGCAGCCTTTAGTTTCTATGCTCCCTGCCTGTGGAACAAACTTCCAGAATATCTGAGGTCGGCTGAAACTGTCAGCTCATTTAAATCAGGGCTTAAAACATTACTATTTACTGCAGCTTACCAGTGAACTAGATATGTAACTTATTGTTAGGATAATCTGTAGCTATTGTTTTTATATTTGTCTGCTGTTGCTTTTGTTTTATGTTTGCTTTTTAAATGCATTTTCTGCACTGTTTTTAACTATTTATTGTCTTGCTTTTAGCTTTTGTTTTTAATGATCTGTTGTTCCTTTGATGTTTTATTTTAATGTATTTCTCTTGTAAAGCACATTGAATTGCCTTGTGTATGAATGGTGCTATATAAATAAAATTGCCTTGCCTAATCTTTCCTGCTTATCGCTCAAACAAATGATTAATTTCTATATTAATATCAGTACTCATTTAAGATACCTTCATCAGTTACCGGAGGCCACTGTCTAACATCATCAATCCAGCTATTCATGATTCTGTCATTGTAGAGA